TTCAGCTCTCGAGGGAGTTGGATGCGCTCTGCATTCATTGCTTATTTCTTGTGAGGGATAAGCATGAATTGAACGCGCTTGTTTCACGAGGAGGCAGCTTGTGCTCATTGTGATGCATTCACAGGACTACTGAGGGGGATGTGAGAATTTCACCATTTACCTGAGTTTGTAGATAGCATTTGCAAGAGTGCGTTCGCCTCTCGCGAGAATAGCGATGCATTCGCGGCAGCAGTTTTCGTTCACGCTTGATTTCCGAGGTAATCTGGCGGTTGGGCGGAGCGTGTTTAGCTTCCGCGGGAGCTGAATGCATGCTGCGCGTTGCGTCGCGGTGAGAACATGGAAAGGACCTGATGGGAAATTTCTCCCTATCAGTAATTTCCTTTTGTTTATATAGTATAGGAAATTATGATCCGCACTCATGAGAACAATCTTCTTTTTTTCTTTTCTTTTACATTCATTACTGATGGGGAAAGTCAAGAAAAAGATCAAGTAACACAAGAGCGATCGTGCAAACGATGTTGTTAAACTTTTGTTTATATAGGAAATGTATAGTGTGGATCTGTCTGCAGTTATTGGACAGATGGTTTATATCATGTCCTTCTCAGATAACCACATTATACTGCACTCCGGCTTGAGTAAAAAAAAAGAAAACAAAAGAGCCTTCCATTCCTTCCCGATCTTCATTTGGAGATTGAGGAGGTTTGGAAAAATCCATTCTCGTCCCACATCCACAGATTCCAGCATACTAGTTATGCCAACATCGAGGGGATGTGTGAGAATGGTTATGAGAAGATGAGATGCTATCTCTCCATGGGGGAGACATCTTCTCTTAAGGCACCTGTTAAGTCAGGACCTGCTGTTGTTGACCGATTACAGTGATGGTTCACTCATCAGTTCTGGTTCCAGGCTGGTGATAGCCCTCATCTTCGGCTTGGACACGCAGCCTGGGCTTCTGAGGAAGTCTCCCAGCATCAGGTCCTCTAGTATAATGCTGCAACTTCAGGACCTGTGGGTCCTTCTCGTGGGCCAGTACTCTTTTGAGTACATGCCTCGCGACATGCTCCCTATCCTCTGGCCAGGTGCGAACTACTAATTTCTCATCCTGAGGGGTCTCCCGAGATTTTAATCATTCCTTAACCTTCATGCACGTTCTCTGAGCTAGAGCTCCTCTCGCTGATGCGTTGAGGAGCTCAATGCTCCACAGATGGTCGGGCCCGTGGGTCCTCACTGTCACACTGCCCTTATGGTTGAACCAATAATCACCCCTCTCTGGAGTGGGCTGGATTACACTGCATTCCCTGAGGTAAGAGGGATTTGTGTTTCTGTGGAAACCCCTCCCTTGTGCTTTTGCTCTGAGGAGCAGTAAGCTCTATACACATGAATGGTTATTGGGTTCCACTATTTCTTCAGATTCTATCGGGTCTGGTTATACGGGACTATTATTGAGATAGCAAGCATATGACCGTGTCCAGCTGCACCAGTGGACTTGTCTCTTATTGAGCCCTGCTGGGTTACCCCTTCTAATCTAGCACCCCCCTCCCCCTTCTGGTCGAGCTAAGTAGTGCTCCCCTCTCTGTGAGGGTTAGCTACGAGTCGCTCCGTGGCAGTGACATCAGGTAGTTGGGCTTCCCTGATAAGCTGCCTCTATTCGGGTCAAGTCAGGCAGTGCTCCCCTCATCTCAGAGGGTTGTCTTTGAGCCTGCCGCTCCCGACTGAGTGGCTGAGGACTTCTGGGCATCTGTGAGCAGATCTCTATAAAATCCATACTATGGTAAGTGCACCCGCTAAGCATCTGTGCACTTTCTAAAATCCACATGGTGGTAAGTGTGCATGCATAGAACTCTGCGCACATTCTAAAATCCTGTATGGTAAGGGTTACGCGTTTTTAGCCTCATTCCCTTTCTCTGAGTTGGCTTAGACCCCAGTACTCGCCTTGGGCTCCACTCAACTAGTTTGTCTCTGTTGAAACACTTTTAAAGCATTGCTCCCCTCACTGTTGAGGGTTATTTGTGAGCATGGTGCTTTCTTCCGAGAGTTCGAGTTCTCTCCCCTTCTGAGGAGTTGAATTCCCCACTCCATGGGCTGTTCTCGTGGTGGTGTTTAGCAGTGCTTCCCTCTATCAGAGGGTTGCCTATGAGCACTCTACCTCCTTTTCTGAATTCGGAGTTCTCTTCTCACGTGGAGAGTTGAGTTCTCTGTTTTCCCAGAGCACCTGGAACTGGCAACATCAGGTGAACTAGGCCCTTCCTCTGCCTCCCTGATGCGCTGAGTTTTTGGCTAAGCTTGCAGTACGATGCTATAGGTTGAGCCCCCTCTCGGCTGAGAGTTGGGTGTTATGCTCCCTCACCTAGGTAACTTACTGCTAGCCATTCCAGCATTATACATCTGACCAATCACAGCAGTGAGGGCTCACGGAAAGGAGGGGTTTAGAGAGACTGATTCTTTGAACTGCTTCGCACGTGTACAGTGACTAAAATAAGTATTTTACCACAGTAAAGTGACTTTAACTTGTGGTACTTGACTGTTGTGCTTTTATTTTCGTTGCCTCTCTTTAAACCAGTTTTTTTTTTCTCTAAATTCTGTTCCTGAAAATCATGGTGTTCAGCCAACTTCAACTATAATAGATAATATTTCAACATGTGGTGGGTTTTCCTAGATTGCATCACAGTTTTGGGGGCGTTGAGCTGAGTCCCGTTTGGCGGTGTGGAGGGAAGGGGATGGTTGCTTTTTATCTACATTTCACAGACTTCAGGGATTCATATCACCACCGCTCTTAAGAGTTCATGAATAATTCTTTTGGAAAACAGGTAATCAGAGTTTTTCATCAGTACTCATTCATGTTTAACACTGAAGAAATCTTTGCATTGATTTGTGTTAAATAAGGAAAGTGAATCAGCCTTTAAAGATTAAATATTTGGTAGATGATTCAGTCAATGCTGTTTATACAGTTTATTAGCTTTGTAAACTGTACTAAGCCATTTGTCATGTTTTACAGCTTAAAATGAAATATTGTGACATATTTCTCTTTCTTCTATTAACGATCATAGATGTCTCAACAAATGCTCAAGGTAACACAATGATACACAATGTAGCCAAAGGCTAAACATCCAATATGTTGCACAATATATAATAATATCATGTTTGTATATCACCTTTATTTATAATGCTGGTCTGAATTTATATATAGTTTTTTGTTCATTTTCCATGAAATTTCATTGACCATAAAACCAAAATGTGGGTCTAAATTTGAAGTAAAGTTACCTGTCATTAAACTGCCCTGCTCTGCTTTATTTCAGTAAAACTATAACAGCTATCTTTTAATAATGATTGAATTGTATTTCTTGATCTACAGAAGTTATCTGTGAGGGTGAACAACTCATCAACGTTGACATTTTATTTGGACATCCAGGTATCGTTTCACCTTATAAACCTGGACATATTTTAGTTTTTCGATGCACTGATGTGAACCTGAAGATGCATGGACAACGAACAATTGAATGCCTGTCAAATGGAAAATGGGATCACCCATATCCGATATGTGGAGGTATGAAGCAATATTGTAATATAAAGCAAATATATTTGCTTTAAATATTTAAGAATTGTTTTTAAAAAATGTTGAAATGTTTATTATTTATAATGTATAAAAATATATAAATTATATTCTTGATACAAAAAAGTGAAAGAAATAAAATCAAAAAAAGGTAATGACAACGTTAACATCAATGCGTTATTCATTAAAACATCAATCATTCATGCATCAAACATAAAGATTGTGTATGCTGTCTTTCTTCATCTCTTAGTGAGTTGACAGCTGACTAGCCCCAGTCTCCACGATACAGCAAAAATATGACTTGCTGATACAAAGTTAATTTCGTGAACTTATATGATTTTCCCCTATAAAAATTGTAGATTTAATGTTTCACCTAGTTTATTAAGACAAATGACAACTACTTATGAATGGATAAATAAGTCCAGATGGAGGACACTGCAATGACCAGTATTTCGTCTCTCTCTAGAAGTAACATGTCCACTAAACACAACAGAGAACAACATCAAAATGGAGCGATTCCCTGATCTTGAGGGTCCAGTCAAACCTGGATATAGTTTAACATTTTCATGCGATGGACAAGGACTGATTTTAAAAGGACAGAGAGAAATCACCTGCCAGTCAAATGGAGAATGGAGCAACCCATTCCCTAAATGTTTAGGTAATTGCAGAGAAGGTAAAAGCGTTGAATTAGTTGTCAGTGTATTATTATCTCAAGCATAACTTTTGCTCATTAAAATCTATGCACAAATTGGCACATAACTCATCAGGTCTTAATTCTCTTGATTTGGGCAAGGAAGCAACATCAAGAACAACATGGCAACCACAAAGTTATGAACTAGTAATGTGGCAGCAGGTTTTGCATGCCAGTCAGATTTTCTTCAGAAAATCAGAGTGAACCAGCAACTAAAAACACTTCAACAGAATTATAATTTTCTTTAAACACATTAACAATGACTATTTCATAGTCATTAATAGTTCTATACTATATGGCACATACTATATGGTTTACCGGCATAAAACGAAATTTGGCTAATACTAAGATTTATTATTGCCACATTTGCTTGGTGATAACAGTCTAAAAATAAAACCTGGGCCACCACCATACATGAACCATGAGAATGGAGAATGGAGAAAAAAAGAAAGAATCAATACAATACAATACAAAAATACTGATGATATTGATTACCTGTGCTATACATTTTTTGGTCCAATCAGATGCTCTTTAGAATTAAAATTAATTTAGTATTTTAGTGCCACTGTGCTACACACTCCCTCCCATAAGACACAAGATTTAATTGAATTAGTAATAGATTTTTTTTTTAATCCCTGAGATTTACTTGTTCTTAAAGGGTGACGTTATGTCCTCAGTATTATTAATTAAAGAAATCAAAAGGTAACAAACAGGTCTAATGCTATTCAGATAAATAAAAATGTAAAAAGCTAAAAAAGCAAAAGCTAATGTGATTTGTTAAAATAACAGATAGTCCTTTTTGTTGGTTCACACAATAAAAACCTCTTATCTACACACTGTTCTGGCATGAAAGATCTTAAATACAAAAACCTTCATACAAAAGGAAACAAGTATGTAATGAACAACAACAAAAAAAACTTAACATAACTATGTCTTGTACAGAAATAACCTGTGAGCTTCAGACAACCACATTTAGAGTAATAAAGATCAACCCAGAGGGAAAGACTATTTTCAGAGCTGGAGAAAGTGTGGAAATCACCTGCTCTAAAAAACGCCTTTGGTTTAATAAAGAAACCAGCAAAACATTTACATGCCAAGATAATGGGGAGTGGGATCATAAGCCTGTTTGTGAAGGTAAGATTATAGAGAAACACTTCTGGATTTGGTGATGGACTCACTACATGTTATTAAAAGCATGTGAATCTTGTTTCAGGGATTAGATGTGAAGTTCCACATGACCAGCATGTGTCTCACCCAGACCATTTATTCAGAGGAGATATGAAACTGGGAGCAAAACAAAATTATTATTGCGAGTCTGGGTATGGGAAAACGGCAGAAGAAGCCACATGTACACGAGACGGTTGGACACCAAATCCACTGTGCGCTGGTATGTTCTATTTTTAAATCTCACAATATGTGCAAATGAATGAAATTGGGAGCAAAAAAAAAACCATTACAATACAATTACCTCATTGTCATATTAGAGATTTACTAATGTCAGATTTTTTTTTTGGTGATGACAGTCTCAAGGAAATGTGGACCACCACCACACGTGAACAATGCAGATACAGTAGAAATGACAAAAAAGGAATACAATACAGGAGAGAGAGTTGAATACATGTGTTTTAATAAATACACATTGGATTCACATCCCGCTTTCTCCAAATACTTGACCTGTCAGCAAGGCGAATGGAGAGGGAATATTAAGTGTTTAAGTAAGTATAAACATGCTACACCATATATATCATGCATATACATTATGATGCAATCTTGTAGTTTAAGTTGTATGTTGTGATGATTAGTTAATAAATGTATACTGTGACACTGATAGTGACATGTTGGGTTTATTTCAGTGCCCTGTTCAGTGACAGTGGGGGATATGGATGAAAGAGGAATTGAGTTGGCCTTCGCTGATCAACAAAAGATGTTCGCGCCACATGATGATCACATCACCTTTAAGTGTCAGAGGGGCAAAGTTTCAGTAGGTTTTGCCCTAAGACAAAAGTGTAATGATGGAGTGATAACTTTGCCTGTTTGTGTGTGACAGTGGAAATAAAACACTGACGAAGCATCAGCTATACTACTAGACAAAAACAAATGGAGCAGATCAAAAAAAAAAAAAAAATCCCTATTCAGTTTATCTGTTTTGGACTAAACAACTAAAGAAATACAAAATGTATAATTCTTTAGATTTATAGGATGTATGAAAATGATATTAACCCTTTTAACCTTACATTTTTTTCCTATATACTGCAAGTCAGTGCATGTAATCACTTTATGTAATTCACTTTAAAGATTCATTTTTAATTTATGAAGATGTCATGAAAAAAATGTGACTTTTAAGATGAAGAGGACATGAAATGACCATTATAACCAGTAGATGGCAGCAGAGGATCACTCATTAGCTCAGTTCAGGTTATCTGCAGGATTTTTAGGCTCAAATTTAAGACCTGCACAAATTAAATGAATACCATATAAGTGAGGTAGGGCAATGTCTATGGTCAGGCCCGGATTAAGAACACATAGGGTCCTGGGGATATAGCACACCCAAGGGCCCCCTTCGTAGTAGTCTATCTTGGTGACACAACGTTTTGTACAACAGGAATAATTCGTTTTTTTTTTTATCAAATCTCCAAAACACAGATACAATGTGTATGCACACTAAATATCCCAGGCTACAACACATTAAAAAAAATTATACATTAACACCAGATATATGGTCAAAACAAACAGGTTTCCAGAAGCAGCAACAACTTTTGAGCATATACAACTCCCTTAAGGAGTTTAGTTTAAATAGTTTTATTATTAGGTCTTCTTTCTGGCCCTGGAAGAGGAGAATCATCAGGGCTGGACTGGTGCTAAAATTCAGCCCACACAGTCCCCATAAATGTTTTGCTGGGGTTAGGGCAATTGGAAGAAATTATTTATTAGTAAATAACGGGCAAAAACAAATGATATTTTTGAATACTTAAAATGCATTAAACAATATTAATATTCCATTATAATGCAGGCTCATAATTATTGAATTCATATTTTTCTGCAATTAAAGTTTATTAATTAAATTGTCCTTTGTAGTTGCCCTAATGAAAAGCTAATTCTTGAATCCAGAGTTAATTATAGTGTTTAGTCTTTTTACACGTTGCATTGCATCGCGCCGCATAAACATAAAATCATGTCTGCATTTGTGATCGGAGAAATGACAAACTACAAACGCTACTCTACACTGCTCAAAACTCGCATTTGAATCATCAGTGGCAAATTTTTTTAATATAAAAACGTACTTATAGTCTGTGAGTCAGAACAGCCGGCATTGTAGTCTACTCTACCAGGATCAGGACACAGTTCTCCATAAAATGCGCTGTACACATCTGAATATTTGTGTTGAAAGTGTTCTGGAACAGTGTTGTAAATATAACTATCTAGTAGTAAACATTCTGGTTGTTGAACAGAACATTTACAAATGAATTGCTTTCATGACATTACAATTGCTACAGGTTCAAGACAAGTGGGGCTGTATTGATAGCACTTAAAAAAAAAAAAAAAACACTTTTATTGAACCCAGTTGCTTAACGCAAAACACCCACCATTGCTCTCCTTTCATCCTGGACTAAGAGGACCAAGAGAAAACAAGCCTTGGTAAAGATGCTGCCACCTTTTTCTGCAACCTTATCTCCAGCCTTCTCCCGGTAGATCTGCAGAAGATCCAGGAGGGTTTCTACAGAGTTGTCTACATCATAAACTGCATCAATGGTTCTGTTGTACTGAAAAATATATTGAAAAAAGCAAAGTTAAATGCAATAAATTAAATCAGCATATTAAGTGATTTCATACAAATTTGTAACTAACAAACCTAATTCTTTAATTGAGGCAACATACCTTTGATAAGTTGAGAAGAACTTGGATGGATAATATGATGATCTCCATTGAAGGCACACTTCTGTTGCAGCTCCTTATCAGAGTGAAGATGGTGTGTGTTGCTCCGCTTTCAACAAGACGTTCACAGCACTCAGGAGAAAGTCTTGTGGCAGTTTCTTTAACCATGACAAAAAGATAACGTTAGCTGTCATTTTATGAATCAGCCAGCCTCCAAACTTTAAAAACAAGGTCTTACCCAAATGTTTCAAGGCTGCAAGAATGTACGCATAATTCTGAAGTCCAAGCAGGTAGCTTAGTGCTGTTGTAGTCTTGTTACACAGCTTGTCCTCTTCCTTCACCCCCCGATTTACTTCCCTGAGACGGCGCCTCATGGAAATGGCTTTGCTTGTGTCATGATGTTTTCTTGAACGATGACCCCTCCAGAGTGCCTTAAAACAATTAAGCACATTATAAAAATTCAAATTAATAGTTGTTCACCAAAAATAGAAAGCACGTCCAAAACCTACATTAACACTTCTGTGGTCTAAAGAAACCAAGTGACACTGTTTTTGAAAAAACTGTAAATAGTGAGTAAAATACATGTATATGTATACGTAAATGTATAAGTATTTATTAAGTCAGTTGTTTTTTTTATCAAGTCCATTTAAAGGGATAGTTCACCCAAAAATGTAAATTTGATGTTTATCTGCTTACCCCCAGGGCATCCAAGATGTAGGTGACTTTGTTTCTTCAGTAGAACACAAACGAAGATTTTTAACTCAAACCGTTGCAGTCATATAATGGAAGTGAATAGCAATCACGGCTTTGAGTCAAAAAAAACATACACGAACAAAACCAAATTAAACCCTGTGGCTCGTGACGATACATTGATGTGTAAAGACACAAAACGATCGGTCTGTGCAAGAAACTGAACAGTATTTATATTCCCATTCACTTCCATTATATGACTGAAAAGACTGCAAGGGTTAGAGTTAAAAATCTTTGTTTGTGTTGTACTGAAGAAACAAAGTCACCTACATCTTGGATGCCCTGGGGATAAGCAGATCTCAAATGACTTACCACTACAAGCACACACAAATCAGGCAACCAACTTGACTTAATTTACACACGCAACTGTATTGCAGATAACATTTAGGAAAAACCCCTTCATATCTCTGACCATTTCTTCATTACATTTAAACTACATTTTGCTACCTGTGTGCCACCAACAGTATACCAGTTACTTTTAGACTAAACCTACGCTCCCTTTCCCCATCCCATCTTTCCTCTGCAGTATCCTCCTCGCTTCCCTCACCAAGCCATTTCTCATCTCTGGATGTGAATGCAGCAACGGACACTTTATGCTCTACTTTAACCTCTTGTCTAGACTATATTTGTCCTCTCTCCTCCAGGCCAGCACGGGCTGCCCCTTCTAACTCCTGGTTATCCAGTGTTCTTCGTGAGCATCGGACCAAACTCAGGTCAGCAGAGAGACAATGGTGCAAATCAAAAGATCTGTCAGACCTGAGTATGTATCAGTTGTTGCTTTCATCTTTCTCTGCTGAAGTCCATACTGCCAAATCTTCCTACTTCCACAATAAGATCAACAGCACTACAGACACACGTAATCTCTTCAAGACATTCAATTCTCTCCTCTGTCCCCCTCCACTACTTCTATAACTGCTGATGATTTCACCACATTCTTCACAGACAAAATTAAAACAATCAGTAGTCAATTCTCAGCCCACACACACAGGACTTCAAACCAACCACACCCACTGCTAAAA